TCAATGAAAATGGGCACGCTGTATCGAAGGTAAGCAAGACGTAAACAGCAATGCAGAACAGGTGAATTTCATGATTTCTAGAAAAGCTGGAGAGCCAAAGGCGCAATGCAAAAAACAAGGACCACTGATCACGCACAACACATCATTTCATAGCAGGTTTCATTTCATATAACATTGGTCCCCTGAGCAGAAATAATTGATCTGCAGACTAATCCAAGAACATAACTATATAGTGGCATCACACTCGAATGCACATTCTTAAGCTTGACGCACGCGTACAAGTGCATTTGGTAAATCACCATGCCTGATCAGGGTTTCTGCACCAAAAAGGCAATTAAATTCCATGACTTTTCCATGACCAAACTGTGAAAAACAATGACCCGATAATGAAATTCTTGGATGATTCAGACTTTTAAAGTTGCATACAAAATCACAAATTTTAGGCACTTATTTCTAATAATAAATATTCCATGACTTTTCCCTGTCTGGAAAATGAAAACAATTTTCAAAGACTTTTCATGACTTTTCCAGGCTGAGGGAACCCTGCCTATTGGTTAATGAGGCACACTGTAATATGCGCAAATTACTCATTCACAAGCTTCAAGCCACTGCAGTAACAGCCTCTAATTCTGGTGGCTTACACTGAAGAAACCTTCCCAAATCCTCAACAGTGCAGGAAACCAGCAACTCATTCTCTGCACACTTTGTACTTACAGGGAATCAAGTCCATTGTTAAATACTTGCACATGTAACAGTGGTTGGCCTTCTACCATACATGTACCTCCCTTAATCCTGTAAACCCTCCCTCCCTCCACACCTCCTGATGAAGTTGTAAGGGTTTGTAAGGCTGTGGCTTTTTCAACAAAATGTTTTTACACTAGCATGAGAAAGAATATGTTGACTGTCTCAGCCAAACAGAGGAAAAGTCATGTTCCCCTGACGATCTTGCCCAGAGAGAAAGCAAAATACACAAACAAAAACAGCCATGAAGTCTCACTCAAGGAATCTTTACCTTCCGGTGATGTGCGTCAGCATTAACCACAACAACTGTAAGTCGTGTGGACATATACCCCAGGACTTTTTTTCCATGACAGATCTGATACTGAAACTAGTGCACGAAATGATGCAAGATTATAGAAGCCACAATGATGTCATGTCATGAATTGCCGACCTAATTGATGTGACTGATGAGCAAGTACACCTGCAGGATGTTTGTCAAACTCAAATAACTATAAGCTGACGATCTTCCTCGTCCCAGATAAACACATCAACATCAGCGATGCCAGTTTAATGTGGAGCTTGAAAGTTCAAGCTGCTTTTTTTTTTATTAAAATTGCTTCCAAATATTAATAATTCGAACACCAAAGGCAGATTTTAAAGAGTTTCTTTCTCTTGAAGAAATAAGGTTCTGCAGCAGTTGGAAGGCACAGACTTTCATGCCATTAGCATTCCTTGTTTTACAACCAAAAAACCATAAAGGTGATCATCCTTTTGAAGGGGAACACGGACTTTAGCTATTTGTGAAACCCATTCATTGTTGAGTGTATGGGGAAAGGGCGTAATGACACATGTCGCCTCTACGTCTTGAGTCAGGTGGAGTGGAGTTCGGCTGCCACCACGAATTTCATTTTTTCCGGACTGTTTTCTTAAGACAAGTGTTTCTATGGCAGAGAAAATAAAGGAAACCAGTCTGTGCAAGCAAGGTTCAAGGAATACTCAGTCGATATTATCCTTTTGCTAACATGGGGGTTTCAGGATTATTCCAAGACGATTGCTGCTGTGAATTAGTTTTTTACGGGAGGGTGGGGATGAGACTTGTTATCAGCATCAACAGGGCCACTTCCCACTCTGTCTCTTACTGTTTGATTTCACACAGCTTCATAGACGAGCAGTCTGTTTGCTGATGTATTTGAGTACTTTTTTGCGACCAGCACGTAGGGAACTTTAGGTTGATGTCAGTTTTAAAACACTGGTAGAGATACCAGCATTTGTGCATAGTTGAGCTTCCTAGAAAGTATGTGTGAATTTTGCTTAAGTTTAAGAGTATAACTAGTAAGTTATCATTGGTCTCATGCAAGGCCACGATAGTGGGCGGGTAATGCTTGTCAACACATAACTCACCTGCAGCCCATTAGGCTGGTGTTTCCCAGAAAGCGGAAGTTTTAAAACTCTGTATCTAGAGCTCAGTGATGCAAAGGCTCGTTTGTGTACATTTGCCTTTTTTGTTTCTAATGCGCTTAATGATTTAAAGTATACCAGTGTTAATATGCCGTCCCACTGTTTTTTCTCTTCTGTGTCGGGGAAACCCATATTTTCTATGCCCTTTTCTGCACTTCATCGGTCACCATTTTACATGCAAATTCTTTCTTACTTATTAATTGCAAGTGATGGTGAAGAATCATTAGTATCATATTTTTAATTACATGTATAATCGGCGTAGGTGAATTTCATTCTTTGTTATATTTGGGTTGAAATCCATGCCTAACCGATACTATATAGTTTTGTTTCTCAAGGAGTTCCATTTGGATTTGAATGATCTCCACCTTCAGATTTCTTTCTTTTTGGTTGGATAGTGGAAATTGATAAATCTTTGACCGAACCATTTTCATTACTACATCAAAGGAATTTTTTTTCAGGTAAATTCATCTCATATCAATGTCACAATACCTACATGTGGGTAAATAAATGTATTTCATTGCCTTTGAGATAAATGATGAAGGCAATCTAAGGTTCCTGAGGTGGTTTGTTTTACAACAGTTTGACACAAGAGTAGTGGATTGCATACAATAAAAATGACAACCGGATATTCTGAAATGAAAAGGCATAAGCATGACACAATTAACCTGTTTGCTCTTGCATTTCAGTGCATCACACTGTGTACCGGTACATTCCATGACAAATTTAGAAAACTGCAGGAAGCTACTGGTAGAGGCGGTTGGGGTGGTGCAAGGGGTTACACGTAAGACAGTTTGGAGCTATTACAGAAAATGTTATTGTTTTAATCAAAACTTCCTAGTCATCCAAGGGAAATTACGCGTACATGTACGGTATTAATACATACCCTGGATCATCACATGTAAATGTTACTGCCAAATATTTCATAGAACTGTTTCTGTTGTACACCCCAACACTATTCAAGAGATTAGGTTCCACCATAAGCTATAGTTTTGTGCACATTCTGTGGAAAACTTATAAGATCCACTCTATACCTTTTACAAATGCAGACCAGTGCTTAAACAAAAAATGCCCTTTTTAAGTGTCTGTCAGTGGGACATCATGTTCAGTTCTTGAATAGAGACAATTGACACAGTCAATTTGTTGGCTCCAAATACATTTTTCATACAGAAGTGTGACTCTGGAGTACAGACTGCACATATGAAAGCATGCTGTTGACTCTGAAGACAGAAACTGCATTTTCACATCAAAAATAAATCAACTGACTGCTACTTGCATAAACTAGTACTTAGAATTAGGTATTCGGTATATGCCTGGAGTTGAAGAGCACCCTCACTGGCAAAGAAAGACAGATGGTACAAAGTTTTCCAACCGGGTTCTTGCACGCATTCGGCATGCACACGAACACGAAGACCATACATTTCAGAATTAAATTTGTTGTGGGCACGGTAGTCAGCGTGCCCCGCGTCAAACGTGCATAAGCTTACGTGCCTATGCGATGAGTTGGTACCAAAGGATCGTCAATTTCATTCCAAAACATGCCCTCTTTTGTTCCCGCTTGGAGCGGATTAAGTTTCCTTAACAACCAAGTTGGGCTAAGATTGTAATGTGAAGCACTCGCCATTTTGATGTCCCATGGAAAATGTGACAACTTTTCAAGACAAGCCAGAAAAGGCTGGCAAAGGAATGAACCTCAGTGATGGCTTTGCCATTCAAAAGTGAAATCTTAAGAACCCAACCAACACCGTTATTCCCAGAAAGTTTATCAAGATGTGCAAACAGAGTTGAGACCTTGACACTATAGAGACACCGGCACTATTACAAATCTAATTTCCTGTGAAACTGTCAGAAAACTATTTCTGACATTCTCACATATGTGTCAAGGATTTGGCCAGTCAAAGAAAACTCTCTTTTAAAAAAACTGATGTCTGGTACATGTAAACAAATTTTTCTCCAAGTCGTGACAATTAATAATGTGCCGTATCTTCAGGGTGCTGTCATTTCAACTCACAGCCTACATGCAAATGTTAGGTATGCAACAACCTGGACATGAACAAACTCAACAGCCGAAGCATTAACAACAACAGATAATCTAAACAATCTGGGCATTAAACAACATGACACGATGAAGATTTAGATCTCTAAAATCAAAAGGAGTTCTGGTTTTCCCACACCAACAGGCAAAATGGTTCCATCAGAATCTTCATGGAATTTGCTGCCTCTGAAAACTTCCTCATCACTGTTTTCATCAAGGAAACAAAATGGAAACCCAAAAGGGCTGAAACATGCTATAGAAATACTAAACTGAGGCTGGTGGCAGACTCCAGCAGGTTTCTGTATGCTCAACATACACCTACTCAAGAAATATCAGTAAGATTACCTTGCATTTTAATGCGAAAGGTTAAATCTCACTTAATTTTGTTCCCTTGGTGAATGACAGTCAATGCTTTCAATTGCTATCCACACTTCATCACACATGCACTTGACAGACAGTCAAGGGTTGACAAAAATCCCTGGGCTCCCTCCTCATTGGACAAGATAACATCTCCTGTGACTTGGATATAAGGCTGGTTCCCACAAAATGAGTCTTTAAGGCACATTTTTCAGTATCAGTTTGCATTAGAAAGAGAAATTCAAGCTCCTTGTTCTGATGTACTGGCATCCTGATGAAAATCGACAACATGCGGATGAAAAAGAAATGCTATTTGCTCCTATTGATTTACACTGGATGAGCACCTTTAGAAGGCTTTTAAATGTAACTCCTACAAGGCATTAGGAACTCGAGACGCACTTTTTTTAGTTGAAGGTACCTCGTGCCTGCCTACCTGAGTGAGCTTGTCGCTGTTGGAGCAGAAGTTAAGCGTGTTGTTGGTGACCATGTCAGCACCGAAGACGATCGTCAGGGTCTTGTCTTCCAAGGGAATGTCCGGGGCTCCCATGAAACAGGTTTCTCGCAATTTCCCATCCTAGGTAACCAAACAACGCAGAGGGAGAGAGAGACAGAAATCATCAGGAAATGTGAGCACTGGACAATATCTGTTTACTCCAACCTTCAAAACTTCAGAAAGATGATTAAAAAAACATGACTAATGCAGAGCACTGCAACTAAGAAGAATAATAATCAGACTTCTTAAAAAGGGCACTTGCAAAAAACGGTGCAGTTGTAAAAAGCAAGGCATCACAAGTCTGGTCACAAGTCACCCTGTTTCAAGTCAAGTCACAGTCTCCTCAAGCTGTGACCATGGATCTCCTTGCACTCCTACTTTTCTCACAGTTGATCCACTGTTGCTTAAGCGATGGACGTGAATAAAGCTTTGTTGTCTGTGATGCAAGAGATACCGAAAGCCTCTTCTCACTCTAAAGAACTGGTACAATTCTGCTGTAAAGTGTAACACAATCTTTCTTTCTCGTTTCTACGTTTCAAACCTTGTGAGTCTGCAACCTAAAGTGGGATTTTCATACAGAATGCAACAGACCCGCACGTACAGCTCAGCAGCCATCCAGGAGGTGCTTGCTTTTAAAAGCACACAAGCACAAACCCTTTGTGAATCTATTATAATGGCTGTTATTCATAAGGGAGGCAACTTTTGATCTTGTTCCCTGAATCGGTTTCATAAATAAATTGCAAACTGTTAAATGGGATGACACTACACAATTTTATGACTGGCATGCATTCCAAGTCTTCCTTTCATTATTGGGAAGAATCTGACTTGAAACACGAAAGTATGTTTGATAACGATGTTGAAATTGTTGAGAGTAGACAGGAACCACTTTGTCACGAATTTCATTGTCTTGCTTTCATTTCTTCTCTCAGTTTGCCAACATGAAGAGCAACCTCACTTTCTATTTGGGTACCTGATGAATCAAGTCTATTGACCGAAAGTAACCACAGAAAAACAGGAAAAACAAGATGGCTGCTCCATGCAAATAGTCAATACAGACAGATTCAATTTCTGAGTAATTTAGCTTCACTTTCTAATCAACTGGAGTTGAACAAAGCAATTAACAGGACGGGAATCAATTTTCCATTCAACCAAACATTTATACTGATATTTTCTACCTTCTTCAATGTACTGCAGATGATGTAAGCTGATGAGAAAAAATACTTTGCACCAGCTGTCGAAAGTGAGGTATGCTGTTTGAAAATCTACGAGTGTGCAGCTGCTTAATTGCAAAATCATGATGTGTAACCAGGCAACCAGCCTGTGGACTACAGTTTCTATTCATGTGTTATCTGGAAATCCTCACATGTGGAGTGGTATTGTTGGGTCATTCCAACGTCAATGAGCTGTACAAGCTCGTGGAACAGAAAACAAGGGACAACCACAGAAAACCCCAAAATATGACGTGATCAATTCCAAGATTAATCTTCTTTTCTCCAATGTCATTAATTTTATAGAAGGGGATTTTTTTATCACCTCCATTTGCATTTCGAGAAAAACAACAGGATACAATGCTTGAGTAACACCATTTCATTTGTCTTCAACATAAAATATAAATGCCACTCAATACCAAGCTCATCTGAGCATGACAGAGAACATCTCTCAAAACTGAAAACAATACCATTTTTACTAACACTGGATGGCTTTCAACTCTACAAATTGCCTACATGTACATGTATATACACGCACAGTATGTACAAATGTAAACATGGTTGCCATCCTCGTAGAGTTACAGTTTTTAAAGTTGCAGGTATCAGCATGCCCTTTCCTGTATTCCCGATTTAGCAAGTATCTCTTTCCTTGAAATTTAAAAAATGCAACGACAAAGTTCCCCGATTTGTATTCCTCATGTCTTTTCCAAGCTGGCTTCCTTTGTGTAGCCAAATTTCCCCAGGGTACTGATTTCTAACTTTTATAACCAGAATGTTTTAATCTCAGTGGACTTGTACTACCTTTACAATTCCAGATGAAAATAACTGCTGCCCAGGAAAAGTGCTAGAGGGAAATCAAAACCAAAAATAAAACCCCAAAGGGTGCATTATGTTGAGGAATGTAGAATGCATAATATTTAGAGGACTGAGGAGGCAATTTTTCTGATTCCTCGATACAATGGCTCAGCATGGGGGCAACATTCAATTCAAGTTGCCAAAAAAACCCAACACCCCATTAGTTTAACGCACGAGCCAACTAGTGTGTTGTAGTGCTGTAGAATGTAGTAGTTCATTGTGTGCAGTATGAACAAATATTGTATGACTCCATATTAATCAATCATGCTTATCAGAAGTCAATGTATTTCTATATTTAACTTTGTCGACTGACAATCCCAAGAGGCAGACCTGAGTTATCTTTCTTATTAAGAGGAGAATGCTTGTTATCTTGAGAGTATCTTTCCACACTGGGGTTTTGTGTCCAACGTAGCTGGCATTATCTGCTGCCCAGCTGCCCATCCCCCCATGCCTGTTATGCTGCCATGTTTGGCGATGCACAAAGATCTCTCAAACAGAGCTTCAGGAGGTTCTACAATGCAAGGCAGCCAAGAAGAATCTTCAAGATAAAAGCAAGGAATGAACAGCCAGTCAGAGATTGGGGGGGCGATGACGCGGTTGACTCAAAGCCACAGAGGTTGACCTGTGAGAAATTTTCATGGGGGGGGGGAATTTTACTGGGAAAAAATGATAATACAAGTCCCTGGCTGTGGACAATAAAAATAAAAAAACACTGTGAGCAGGGATATGTAGAAAGCTATTTGACGCTCAGGGCAGTCTGAGACTTCACACAATATGCGTAAATGTTTAAAGCCGCATGTGCTCTAATGTTTAAAGCCTTCCTGTTTCAAGAGTTAAATGCATCTACTGTTGAGTAGAAAGTAGAGAATTTGCATCACACCTTTTAGAGGGAGGGTCCATGAGAGAAGTCCATGGGGAACCCATCCTTGCCATTAATTACACGACAAGTGTTTATGTTTACCTACAAGCACCTACATGTAGTGTGGACATTTCTTAGTGATCATGTACCGGTACTTGAGAAAACTCGGTGAAAACACTTATTTTTCTTGCACTGTGAACACTCTATTTGGCTAGATTTTTGTGGATAGTCTTCTTGGCTGTTCCTCTTCCTTTTGCCACTGATAACACTCACTCCAAAATGTCTCCAGAATTGTTTTCTAGGACATAAGAAACCTTGTGGGGACCTGGCTTAGTCCACACAAAGTTTGTGCAACCATTAAGAAGACCTTATCTTGTTCACAGGTTCACACTACCAGTACGCATGTAGGTACAAGTATGTACATGTACATGTAATGTTGGTACACTGGTTCCCACACCATGATTGAAGCCAGAATTACTGCTGTCAAGGTGAGTGAAGTACACACATCTGATTCATTTTAATGCATGCATCAACCCATTATAAGCCTAAATTCTCAGAGGGGGGATTAGATGGGAAAATTGCTCAGAAATTGGAGCTCTTCAATCCACCTCCGAATACATCAAGGTCATGTGAGCCATCATATCACGAACTTGAAATATGCCCCATTTAGCTAACATCCTTTTTAACACTTCCAGCACTTAGGAAAATTGGATCTCTCTTCAGCGAGAGAACTGACTTCACATCTGTGTCTTTTGCATAATTGGAGAAGCTCCACTCTTCCACATATCAATTAGGTGCAGTAAAAATGGTCGGAAAGTCATGTCACTATCCTCTTTCCTGTCACAAAGTTCAAATGGGCATTGGCAGTAGCTAGGAAGCAACCTGTGATGCACTAGCTGCACTAGAGGGATAGAAAATATTCTTGAGCAGTGGTTTCGTGCAAAGGAAACCGGAGATAAGCACCCGCCTAAACCAAATTGGCTGGGATCACACTCTGCTCTGCTAGCATCCAAGTCCTGATGTTGGGATTAAAACTGACTTTATTAACCCTAACAATCCTGTTATTAGGGTTAACATTCACTGAACTTGTTTTCTGTCCTAGTGGTACTTCAGCGAATAAACAAGGGCCCTGCATCACTGACCCTGCAGCTGATCGCCCAATTCACATGCATTAACGGGTAATAAGAAATGTTTTCAAGCTCCATGCAAATGCTACCCTGTGAACCAGCCTTCTAGAAATTGCCATCCAAGTCCCCTCACCCACACACCTCTATGATAATCTCTTGGAAATCTTTCCCACATGGCAATAAATCTGACTAAATAGATGATAGTTTGCAGGAAAAAAAGCCAAGAGATTACAAGGGGGCATTCGTTGCCACCACAACAAATTATAAGGAGACAGACCACAAAAACATCTTGTTAGGCAATTCTAAGAATTTGTATCCGCTGATTTCAACAGCCTGTCTCATTCCCACTTGAAAAATCTTCGGTCCATTGCTGTACATGTACATGTACGTGAATGTGGGATCTGGTGATAAGTTTGTAATTTACTGAAAGAGACAGGCTTGTGCAGATCTTAATGGGTCAGTGTCTGTTCATGGACATTGTCACGAAGGATACATAAATTTCTTCTAATGGGATGGGGGAAAATAAAGTGCTCCTCAACGCAAGACTGAAAAACCAGCAAAATAGAGACTGGAAAGATGAACTGTCCATTGGTTACTTTCACACCCTTGCCCCTAGTCAAGTTTCTTTCCCCTTTTTCTTTGTAGGGGACCCCTTGATGTTTCTGTTCAGAATTTCAGAATTCAGTCAAGTCAAGACTTTGTTCGGCCAAATGCATTATCGAAAGAACACACAGATTTTCTGCCAAAATTCAGCCTAAAACGTGGTGCTTAAAAGATCATTACATTCTGCTTTTTATCTTTTTTGAAAAAGGTAACTGAGGAAAGTTCAAGCATATGCCCAGAGGACAAAAACGTAGACCTAACAGAGCGTCACATAATTATACTAAGAGTACATGTATAGAGTACCAAAGTGAATACGTCACGCGCACAATTAGTGTGTAAAAGACATTAGCACGGGAACCAGTGTGTGAACCAACACGGGCGCGTACTCCATTCGTTTGCACTGCACTTTCTGGTTCACAGTGACGTCACACTTCAGTACTCTATACTAGTACTTGAATAGACTGTTGGTATACATGTACATGTACATATATATACATGTACGTACATAGCGCTAATTATGGTAGTATCGTTTCTTACATATTCACTTTGTGAAATTAGGTTTTGCTCATAATTCACAAAATAAAGCACAATATACCAAGTGCTGTCTGAAAAAATAAGGAAAGGGTTTGTGAAAACAATTTACAAAGTCACTTAGGCGGGACTTGAACCCACACACTTTTGCTTACTAGTCTTGATGTTTTAATTTGACCATCACGTTTCCTGATATTCGACACAACTTTTTCACTTGAAGATATGAGTTCTGGTACTCTTTCTCCCTTAACCACTGCAATTCACAGCCACCTGCCCATCTAGGATGATACGGGACACCCATTTTCATTTGGAAAAGTACCGTATGCAATACACAGAAAAAATGTGTGATGGCCGCCCTTAATAACTAACTGCAAGCAATGCCTACACTTTCATTTTCTCTTGGTGCCTTGCAGTCCTTGTTGAGACAAATAAAGTCATGATGACTGCCAGCTCAACACTGGTAATGAGGGAACAGACGACCATTAGGCCAATGAAATTTGACTTATTGTTTCTCGTCAGGGTTTTTTCAAATTTCGATGCTCTTTTCTTTCATTATTCATTATTTTCGATCACGAAAAAGTAATACCCTTTTCACATGCAGAAGACCTGTGTGGCTCCATCACTTGTGTGTGTTGGTCCGATGCTGTTTGACTGTTGGATTGCGGCTTGTGTGGTTGTTGATTCTGCTGAAGTAAAGCTCAATGCATGAAAGCAAAGCTGAGCTGGTTCCCACCAAGCCGCGCCCATGCAAAAAAACGTGTGATGGAAATGTGCTAACCAGTCTTTATGTCCTGATCGATTAAAACTACATCAGTGTCGTACACATGCAGCCATACAGCTGAAGGGCAAAAAAAAAAAATCGATGTTGCAAGAGGATTTCTGAAAGTTATTTCACAGAATTCGGTCTCTTGTTTATGTATTTATTTTCTGTGCTCACAAGTTCCTGCATCCATCCATCTGGATGCATCATGGACGCTTACAACACGATACACAGACATTGCTGGCCAGTTTGCCGTCGTGATTACCTGACTGGCATTGTGTGATTTGTCTGTAATTCTTGTGAATTGTCAACTGCAGAAAGTTTTACATATTCTGACATGTTTTTATCACAGTTTGAGACAATTTTTGGAAGCTTTCATCCCCATTCATGCTGTTACATCAGCACAAAAACTTGACCAACCAAAATTGCAACCAACCGATACTATTTTTGAGAGGCATGTAATCAGAAGCAGAAGAGGCCTAAACAGTGAATGAGAATAGTGTGCACATGCGGTATCACGCCGTACCTTGCGCTATGCTATACCCGTAAGTACCCACCAGTCTACATGTACTCTGTTTGAGGCGTTCATGGTTGCTCATCACCCCATCGTGCGAGCATCAAAAACACAAGTCAAAACACATCCACAACGACTCAGTTTTTGCGATCTTGTATTTATTATCATGAAAAACGTTATATATTTTGATCTAAGTTCTAACAAATAGGCTTATTCTGAATTTTTTACTAGCCCAACGGGCAACCAAGGAACCAAGTTTAGGTAGCCCGGAGCATTTTTGCTAGAATTTGTACACTGGGCTAGTACTATTTCAAGGCCAGTCCAGGTTTTGGTGTTCTGATGACTGGGAATGCTGGAACATAACTTTCAATGTGGAGAATTTGATTTTCTGTCAAGTTTCACCATTTTTTCCCCCCAAAATATTGAATAACATTTCTTGATGTTTGGCCAAAATCACATGCAGGCGCTGACGAGAAACAAAAAATCACTACCCTTATATGGTTCTGCGGGCTAAAAAGGTGTGCACTCTTTTATATGTAAAGCACGGTGGTACTGTCCCCATCCACCCCCAACATACACACCCCCGCATACCGGTACCTTAGCTGATCAAAGATTCGCCCAGTCTTCCTCCTAAACAAGGCAAGTCAGAAAGAGGGGATGATATCACTGCTTTGTGGTTTGCTGTGATATTGCCACTCTTTCGATGAATCACGGATGGCGAGGATATACCACCATGTGTGTCTACGCGTACACAACCAAGACAGAGATGGGGAAAAGGATCTGAACCATCGTGGGGGGGGGAAGAACCGAGGGGCAGGAAACCAGCTGAGAGGGTCACTGCAATGTCCTTCCTCTTGAAGCTGCTGTGGACTGGAATACAGGAAACTGTGGACATAATACCCAAACTGACACTTTTATGGTCTTCACTTCCCCTGTGAAACAATAGGCTGTATTGTCCGGGAAAAACTGTCAGGAGCTGTTTGCTTTGAAACCATATCGAAAGTACCTAATTTAATCCAAGATACTGTTGACAACCGTCAAAGTCTGGATTTAGTCTCAAGAGTAGACTCAGCGGGTTAGACTCGAGGTCTTAGCATCTAAGGCTAAAAAACTGACTGTTTCACAACAAATATGTAAACAAAATGGAAAGAATCTTTGGCAAAAATAGGTAACTTTAAACATCTGGACATCAGACTGAAAAACAGACTCAAGCCTACATCTACCGGGAGACTTTTGTGCACTTGTCATGAAACCACGCACCAAAGAAATAAATCCTAAAAAAATATGAGCAGCACATACACTGACACGTTATCGTTATTCATTGGTTTATTTAGGCAGTTTGCTTGACTTGTTCGTCAAACGTGAGAAATAATGCACCATGGACTCAAAGTGCATATCACACAGGGCTCCAGGATGTCTGTAGGCTGCCTTATGACTTTAGTCTGCACACTCCTTGGCTCCCTGATCGCAACTGGTAGAGTTGGACGGTAAGTTTCCAATTTTTGGCAAACTTAGGTGTCGGTCCCCCCTCTCTCTTAAACTAATACCACACTCCTCTTAAAGGAACAAGGAAGTCAACATTTGTAAAACCCATTTCAATTCACAATTACATTAATTTAAATATATTTCATATGAAATAAAAGCAGAAATAGTTCACAAGAAGTATCTTTATGTTTATTTGCCACCCCAAAAGTGACCCTCCTTTTTGGAGTTTGAAAATGGGGCGTGGCTCGTGACGTAGACTGAGGCACCGAAATTCACCAAGAGACTTGATGGTCTGGACCTGACAACCACATCAGGACACAAGACTAACTGCCGAGCGTAAGACAATGCTGCGTCGCGTCACACGTGTACTGTACATGTACGGACTGTACCGTACACAACATAGTGCTCATGCACATGTTAAATCGCTTGATCTGGAGAAAAGCATATACTGCAGTGAAGGGCCCTCGATTGACCGCATTCATGACATACATCTCAGAACGGAGTACAGAAGAGGTGGGTGCAAAAGTTACAGGCTTTTGAGGATACTTCAACACTCTCTGGCCTCACACCTCAACTGTAAATGTTCCCATCTATGGAACAACAACAACCACAGTTATCCACTCAAAACTGCAAGTGACTGTCCCACAAATGCAGCTCTTCAACCAGAAATCAGTTCAAGATAAGCATCCTTTTAAGCTGGCAACACCGCATGCAGGCATGAGGCAAAAGAAGAATACAGAGAGAAAAGACCAACTCAACCAAGATTTTGATTGGGTTTATAATTACCTTGGGGACATTTGCATATTTGCCGTATCTTGTGTCACGAAGGCTGGTCAGTTCCAGGCAATCTGTCTCCTACAGGGAAGAAATCAGATGAGAAGAAAAGTTATTACAGGGTGAAAAAAAGGAGAGAATTTAAAGCATGTGATCCGTAAACCAGATAAGGAAACAGATGAAAGATCCTTACATTTGGGATATAAATTCCCTACTTTTTTAGGGCACATGGCTCTCAGCAACTTTGAATCTTACATTAAGCCAGCGACAAACATTATACAGCTGGTTCAAATAATTAGTAGAATGAAAATAGTTATTCAGAGAGAACTTCTATGCACACTGCACATGAATAACCCAGCCCGAGGACACACCATTAGTGCAACAGCACAAAGCTGACGCACAAGTCAAATGCATGCTAAGAGATATGTGTGCTCATTTACAGCCCTGCAGGGGCCAATTTCATAGAGCTGCTTAAGCACAAAATCTGCTTAAGCACAAAAAAATCTTGCTTAAAAAATTAAGGCTACCTGCTTAAAATCTATGCGATTGTCAGGCTAACCAAATGACAGGTGAGTACCATTCCAAACCAATATACATGTACATCACATGGAATTTTGGCTGGTAACCTGATTTGTCAAGCAAGGTTTTTTCATGCTTAAGCAAATTCTGTGCTTAAGCAGCGCTATGAACTGGCCCCAGTCTGCTGTTCTGCTCCATGCAGGAACAAGAGATAGTATATTTTTTACTCCAGAGTAACCTCACTTTGGTACCAAAGCATTGCATGCTCACTCATCGTCATGGGCACTGGGTGTAGGAGGGGCAGATCATGAACAACAACTTTCCGCTGAAATGTACTGTTTCTTTGCATGTGCGCCAAACCTTTTCCTACCTGCCTGTCTCTTCTTTGGTAGAGAGGGGATCAGTGTTCTACATGTAGCTACTGCTAGGACCATTTTAGAGCCAGGTAAATTTTTGGATTTTTGAAGCGTAGCGAGCGCAGTGAGAGGAGCTCTCACAGCTCATAGCTGGATTGGATTTGTGCCCTATATTGATACCTCTGTTCGGCTGGTCTTGAGCCAAGACTTTGAACGTGTGCAAACTGCCTTGGGGAGGCTACATTACATCCCATAATTTTGGGTCTCGTAACAATGCTAGCTAGACATTCTCAATGCTTTCTGATACTTGAAAAATGATCAAATTGGTACATTTTCAGTAAATTTCACTTCATTTTTTAAAGAAAATCCGTGCTGGGCGGCACAGCCAATTTGAACCCGAGAGCCGGGCAGAAATTTGGAGTACCGGGTGGTGCCGCCCGGCGCCGCCCACCGTGGCTAGAACACTGGAGGGGATAACTCTAGTCTCAGCTGACTGGTCGCAGAGGAATTTTCTCATGTGTGTACAACATGCGTGCAAAAACTTGTACCCTGGCAGACCTGGCTTTCAAATCCTAGTTGCAGGAATAGTACGTAGTAAAAGCACTCACAATAACTGTATGTAACTGATGTGAATTTGTTCAAGTATTACGACGGCTGATGGTCAGACGTGGGAGCTACACGCATACATAGCCATGTAAGTCCAGTAAAGGCTATTGCAAAAACTAACATTGTGGAATTTAGTCCACCTGCAACCTAGTCCGCAGGACTGTTTTCGTGCAGAGACCTGGGAGGGAAGTTCTAAATATGTGTAATAAAAATTTTTTTTAAAGAAAACTAAAAAAATATACAAACATCCAAAATTCACACAAGCACCCCCGTTTATTACCGATCTCCCTGCCAACAAAACCTAAAATTATATCCTGCATTATGCTGTGCAACCATCCCTGGAGCACAGGTGTAATATACGCATAGTGTACAGCCCCGAGGACTGAACACACCGCTTCATGATTATTTCATACACGCACCGCTACGCAGCTAAACTACATTATGACTTTATTGATTGACTGCAATCTAGCAGTGAGGATACATGCACTCCTCCCTGTGCCAGGCCCTTTTCCTTGACATTTTGGCTTTTCAATGGGACCCCGTCAAGTCATCAGCAATTAAACTGTCGCATCTGATTCTGTGATGCATTAACTCGGAGTCTATTCAATAAGGCAGCGAAGACAATGTGCAATTATCGCCTACCCAATTGTGTACTGAGAGGATCATGAGCAAGGTCAAATATGGGCAAGTGGGTGAAACAGGGTTCAGTCACAGCACAGGCCTTGGTCTGTTGGTAATGCACAGCCATAACGCTCTTCCCAAAGCTACTTCCCTCTGTATATTCAGTGATGCTAACTTATGTCTATCAACATGATGAACAGGTCTTACGTCTAGAATTTGATGCTTGTTGCCACTCAGACTCATGGGTGAGATTATCAAATGAAAAGAAACTCCCCCTTTCAAGGGGACAACTCAAGACATTTAATACTGTAGCTAACAAGGCATGAGCTTTCTCTCAAATGGCCATCATTAAATATGCGTACTGGTAGATCTTACACACTTTATTTTCAGTACAAAGTGAAAAAGTAGCATGGCGAAACCTAAATAATTAAAACTCTAAAAATCCAGATTTTCTGAGTTGAAAATCCTGAAATCCAGAGGAAACCTGAGAAATCATGCCCCTAATGGTGACAATTACAGAAACAGACTGAACCAACACCTAAATGCCATGTGTCTACAACCTACACAGGGCTATACTTGTTTGTGTGCACTGATATAAAAGTTATGCATCCCCTTGCATAATTTTACATCAAGCTCTGTACATGTAGTTACAGGGACTACGCACACGGTGAAACAAACAATGGTCAACTACATAACACGTACATGTACCCGGTAAATGCTGTAGGAACCACAAAATGTTATGCGACAAATGTTTGCCTGTCCTAACAAATGAAATGGTCCCCCCTATGCATTATCAGCCCTGGCACATGTGACATGTTTGCTGCACCGGAACTGTAAATACACACTGGTATGCGCACTCCAGTACTAATACGGTCCCGTGTGAAACGCTGTTTTCAAAATGTTCCCATTTCAACATGAATCACTCTCCTGGACTGAAATTTCTTCATTAAAAGTTTCTCCTTTTTGAGCGATTTCCAAATACCAGTTTCGTGAAATCTTTGTGGAGACCTATATACCTTTGGAAATTCCCCGTGGAGACCTACATGTATTCAACCCGTTCTCCGGAGTCTCCACAAGGCACCGTATTTCGAAGCATTTGAACAAAGCCACGTCTCCACAAGGATACAAATTTGGGAATGCTTGGTTGTAAAGTGTGTCCTCCTATTCCACACTCCACACTGAGCGGTATCATGAAAAAAAGTCATTTGCAAACAATCTCCACACCTCCTGAGCACTTCTATCCACCAAAGATATTGCATGTATTTAACTCACTTGAGTCCACCACCTGGCTCTTGATGTTCAGCATGAATTTATTTTGCTCCTTTGTGTACTTTTTCTGTCCACCCTTTGGCACTTTGTTTTTGCATAGCTTGGCATAAATACTGGATGTTGGTGTAATTATCTTTCACAGAAATTTCCGGATGCAGAAATGGGTTTAAGAGCTCCTTCTGTACCTAAAATTAGTCTCCGTAAACCATCAGCCACTCGTCGGTTGACAACAGTCAACCAGGAAAAGATTGCTTGTACAAGAGGCGTGTTACAGAACTTGAAGTGGGTAATTACCCTCGTTTTGGCAGGCTGGCACATTGAACATGACTGACTGTGACTTGGGGGTTCTGTACTATGTACCTGGCCTTGTTCTCGATCATGTCACATGTAGGAGTGTTCTCCATCAATCCAATTACCCCAGCTGCTACAGTTCAGGATAGGCACTTGTTAATTAATTAAAATTCAATCTACGCTGGGACAAGATTTGCTGTGATCTTGTACTGCCTCCAATTCCTGAAATTGGAACATTCTCTTAAATTGATTGTTGGGGAGAATATTATTTGATTGTTGTTTTGATTTATCTTTTCATGCAAGGGTCACCGATCCATACATCTACGTCTTTCTTTCAAAAATCCTTGAGTGGAATTTGTTTTTCTCATGGATATATTTCTTAGTTCTTCTTTTCCACTACACTTTGATGTCTGTTAAATTTGAATTGAGGTTGAGCAACCCTGTTTAGAGTTTTATTCAACAAACTCAGCAAAATGTAATGGAAATCCTTACAATTTACTTTACAATCCCGGCTGAGCACAAAAAATTCCCAGATACACATACACGTAAACACAAGTTACCCAGTGTCTGAATGAACAAAAGGCTGCAGTGCAGTGGAAAGGATAAAAATGAAAAATGAAAAATCCACTGAGCGCATAATTCTTGAAAATGACCTTCAACCAACTTTACATCAAGCACTTCTATACAAACTCCAATACACTTTTATTGTGCACACTCCTCTGCAGTCCATGGCAATCACTCACACATACATGTACATGTACATGTACTGGTATGCCTATTGCCATTGGTGGTTTTCACAGTCCAGTAATCATGGTAATTTGGTTTTCCCTTCACCTACATGTATTCATAATGCTGTATACTCAGTGATGTCCAAGGACTTGTGAGAATAATCTACAACCTTAGTAATCAGGTGGGGCTCTAACCCACCTCGGGCTTAATAGTGCAGATGGAGTCTCACTAATCAACCATCAAGACTGATGGGTCCGCTGGCCGGTTTGTGTCGTGCGTATAAGCAGAGGGTAGACCTGTTTTTCCCCTTTCCTGTCGGTCCTAACTATTACGTATAGTATGCTGAAGCTTTGATTTAGCAGCAGCAACATTTAAGTAAAGGCTAGTGCATACCCAGATGTATATGTACATGTGGGCCTGTGCGTACAGGTAGGTGTGGTTCTCCGTATGAGAATGGGGTCTCAAACATGCCCACAATGAACAGGTGGCCAAAAAGACACCAGGGTAATGCACGTACACATAGCAACCCACTCGTATTGCTATTTGCAATCTTTCTCTGGACAGTGGACCAAAAAAAATACAGTAGACAGCAGGCTGATTTTCCTTTCATGGATGTTCCAACCTGGTCACAACTACACGTACAGGTACATGTGTAGTATACATGTACATGTACGTGTACATGTATGAGTG